GTAAAACTGTATTAGAACGTGTGTTTTAAAAACTTAATGTAAGAAATTTGTCATGAGGGGGAGTACAGGGATCGATACCTAGGACTCCCTACTTTTTTCTTTGGGCACATCCCTGTCGTTGATCAAAGCAATTATTATTATTTACATTAGACCTAGTTTATTGTTTGCTATCCTCAAATACCCTCCATGTCATCACTTATTTTATAAGAACAACAAAATATAGTAAAATCTTAATTTTATATTTTGATAGCACATTCATGACAAAAAAAAATACAAAAAAGTGTGGATGATTTGTTGTAACATCATTATCTTATTTTATACTAGATGCTGTCTATGAAAAGTACCAACAGCATAGATTTTTATCACAAAAAACAACTATTTTCATGAATAAATGTACTATAACGATTGAAACAATTAATATATCCGGTCATTCTTTGAAATACACCATATTCAGCTAGTTTTCCTGGTTAGCCAAAGAATTTCCACAAATCCATTAATGCTGTTGACAATTCTTTTTTTGTAATATTATATTTCTGTTTTGTGTTTAGGTAATTTTTTAATTTTTGAGAAATTCAATGTGTTCGACAAAGATCAAATTTTATTAACGCCCATCCTGAGTATATATTTTGAGAGTCAATTAATCGAAACAAATGAAATACAAAGTAAAATAAAAAAACATTCAAGGCGAAAAGAACAAAGAACACTTGTTTCGCGTTGCTTTTGCTTTGTATTACGACTGAAAATTTCTGAATCATCAATAATCACATCTAATTGGTGCCTTTTTTTTCAACCAACATGTGAATTAGTGTTATAATTCATTCTCATAGCGATATCTATCACTCATCACATACGTCGAATGTTAAAAAGTGACGCGTCGAAAATGATAGTCGTCGAAAAAATATGAATAACAATAGAAGGAGAAATTTCACACGAAAAATTTTTCTGTCCTGTTGTAATCGCTATCTTTGTCCTGGCGGGCGGCAGGACAGGACAAAAATCAAAATCACGTCCTGTCCTGTTTTGCCCTGTTGGCAATCTCTGTCATGGCGGGCGGCAGGACAGAACACCAGGACAGCAGGACCGTCCTGTCCTGTGCTCATCTCTGACCCACACCCACACCCCACACCCACACCCACCCACACCCACACCCACACCCACCCCACACCCACACCCACCCTCTGGATGCTTAGTACTATATCGTGTAGATTCTTGGAAAGTAATCGTTCAAAAAATGACTACTAGAGAAAATAATCGGTCACGGATATGACACTATCTTTACACAAAGTTTTCTAGAGAACTTTGCATCTTTTCTAGTTGATTAGAAGTAGTATTATGACACGTTTTTTGATGATTTCTAATCGAATACACAAAATTTGACAAAGATTTTATTCTCAATTGGGACATTTAATGTTGAGATGTCAACAAGTAATGCATGTATTCGTATTCACAAAGATGGAAAACGTATCGTCACTTTTATCACCGCATTTTCACCGTCACACCAAGTTGCGGTTTACTAAAATCAATGAAATTCCATGTGACACCGGTACCATCAGCACCGAATGATTTAATCAAGGTGATGATAGAAAAATATAAAGCACAAAATCAAAAACTAACAAGTTTGTAAGAGAATATTTAAACTGTCAGTGCCATTATTAGCGACGACAAAATCTAGTTTTCTGTCATTGTTGAAGTCGCCAATGACAATGGAGAACGGATTGGATCCATAATCCAACGCAAATAGGATGATACTTGCAAATGTGCCGTTACCATATCCAATAAATACACCTAGATTGTCGTTGTCATGATTCGCGACGACAATGTCTTGTATAGTATCGTTGTTAATGTCACCAACAGCTAGAGAGTATTGAGATGAATTTGAACCTGTTGAATACACCATCAGATTTCCAAAAGAGCCATTGCCATATCCAAGAAAAACACCAATATTATCTGAGTCACAACTACCAAAAACGATATCCACTTGAGTATCATTGTTGAAATCACCGACAACCATAGAGCATGGAGACATATACGGACGAGTTGAATATGACACTTGACTTGTAAATGAGATATTGCCATATGCAAGAAAAATACCAATACTATGCCTGCTTGAACTGGCAACGCCGATATCCATTAGATCGTCATTGTTAAAATCACTAATCACTAACGAATCTGGTTGGGAACCATTTTCAGTTATGACCGTCATTTTTTTTACAAAAGCTATATATGCATACCCAAGAAGGACACTCACATCCTGGCTACCCTGATTGGTGACAACGATATCTAGCCGACTGTCGTTGTTGAAATCACCAACAGCTATAGCAAATGGATAAGAGCCAGCTGTATAGTTTATTGCTGCTGCAAACGAGCCATTTCCACATCCAAGAAGGACACTTACATCACGACTATTGAAATTGGCGACAGCAATATCTAGCCATGCATCGTTGTTAAAATCACCAACAGCTACAGACTCTGGAAAAGAGCCAGCTGTATAGTTTGTTGCAATTGCAAAAGAGCCATTCCCATATCCAAGAAGGACACTTACATCATCGCTACCCCACTTAGCAACAACAATATCTAATCGAGTGTCCCTGTTGAAATCACCAACAGCTACAGATCGCGGAGAAGAACCAGTTGAATAGTTTATTGCAATTGCAAAAGAGCCATTTCCGTATCCAAGAAAGACACTCAAATCCTTGCTGTCAGAGTTGGTGACAACGATATCTAATCGAGTATCGTTGTTGAAATCACCAACGGCTACATATCGTGGAGAAGAACCAGTTGAATAGTTTCGTGCACTTGCAAAAGAGCCATTCCCAAATCCAAGAAGGATACTCACAGCATTGCTAAGAAAATTGGTGACAACGATATCTAACCTAGTGTCGTTGTTGAAATCGCCAACAGCTACAGATCGTGGAGAAGAACCAGTTAAATAAGTTGTTGCAGTTGCAAAAGACCCGTTCCCATATCCAAGTAGGACACTCACATCATTGCTATCAGAATTGGCGACAACAATATCTAGCCGACTGTCGTTGTTGAAATCACCAACAGCTACAGATTGTGGACGAGAGCCAACTGAATATCTTGCTTCTTTTGTAAAAGAACCATTTCCATATCCAAAAAGGACACTCACATCATTGCTCAACCAATTGGCGACAACGATATCTAGTCGGTTGTCATCATTGAGATCAGCAACGGCTACATGTTCTGGATTATAGCCAGCAGAATACCTTGTTTCTTTTGCAAAAGAATCACGATTATATGCAACAAAGATGTCTACGTTATCGCTGCCATCGGAAACAACAGCAATTTCTGATCGTTTGTCATTATTAAAATCACCAGACGCCAATATTGCCGAAGGCGAATCAAAATCAATTCCACTACTTGTTTGGCTTGCGAATGTTCCGTTTCTATTTCCCAGCATGATAACTACCTTTTTTGTACCATAATTGGCCACAGCGATATCTACTACACTGTCGCCATTGAAGTCGCCAATAGCAATCGATGTTGGATGAGAACCTGAGCCAGTGCTAAGCAGCATTTGATTTTCGAAACTGCCATTTCCATGTCCAAAAAGGACACCAATATTATTAGTACCGTAATTAGCCAAGACGAGATCTAGATCAGTATCGTCATTGAAATCACCAATGACTACGGATCGTAGGCTAGACCCATTTGCCGATGCGTAGGACATCTTGTATTTTATCGCTCCTCTGTTATATTGCAGCAGGACACTTACAAAATTGCTACCAAAATTGGCAACAACGATATCGAGCCGTGTATCGTTGTTGAAATCACCAAGAGCTACAGATCGTGGAGAAGAACCAGTTGCATAGTTTGTTGCAGTTGAAAAAGAGCCATTCCCATACCCAAGAAGGATACTCACATCATTGCTAACAAAATTGGTGACAACGATATCTAATCGAGTGTCGTTGTTGAAATCACCAACAACTACAGATTCTGGAAAAGAGCCAGTTGCATACTTTATTGCAGTTGCAAAAGAGCCATTCCCATATCCAAGAAGAACACTCACATCATTGTTATCAGAATCGGTGACAACAATATCTAGTCGAGTGTCGTTGTTGAAATCACCAACAGCTACAGATCGTGGAAAAGAAGCAGCTGCATAGTTCTTTGCAGTTGCAAAAGAGCCATTCCCATATCCAAGAAGAACACTCACATCATGGCTAACCTCATTGGCAACAACGATATCTAATCGAGTGTCGTCGTTGAAGTCACCAACAGTTACAGAAGACGGATAAGAGCCAGCTGCATAGTTCTTTGCATTTGCAAAAGATCCATTCCCATATCCAAGAAAGACACTCACATCATGACTATCCGAATTGGCGATAACGATATCTAGTCGAGTGTCATTATTAAAATCACCAATAGCTACAGCTTGTGGAGCAGAACCAGCTAGATAGTTTGTTGCCGTTGCAAAAGAGCCATTCCCATATCCAAGAAGAACACTGATATCATGACTAATCTCATTGGCGACAACGATATCTAATCGAGTGTCGTTATTAAAATCACCAAGAGCTACAGCTAGCGGAGAAGAACCAGTTGAATAGTTTGTAGCAATTGCAAAAGAACCATTCCCAGATCCAAGAAAGACACTTACACAACTGTTACGCGAATTTGCGACAACGATATCGAGTCGAGTGTCATTGTTGAAATCACCAACAACTAAAGAAGATGGAGAAGCGCCACTTAAATAGTTTGTTTGGTTTAAAAATCCTTCATAACGACCAAGGAGAATATCTATGCTACCAGTGTCATTGTTTACGACGACGACATCTAATCGGTGGTCCTTGTTGAGATCACCTATTGCGACCGAAATCGAAGAATAAGATCCAGTTGAGTACATGATTGGATTTTCAAAGTTGCCATTTCCATCTCCAAGAAGTACACCTATATTTTCAATGCCGTTGTTAGTGATGACGATGTCCAATCGATTATCTTGGTTGAAATCTCCAACACTAATCGCATATGGAGAAGCAGAACTAATGGAATAGTTGGTTTGATTAACGAAACTTCCATTGCCATTGTTTATAAGCACACCTATTTGGCGAGTTCCAGAGTTTGCGATAGCTATATCGAGAAAGTTGTCAGCATTAAAATGGCCAACAGCGATGGAATATGGATGAGAACCAAGTCCAGTTGAAAACGTGATTTGTTTTTCAAAAGTTCTGTTGCTATTTCCAAAAAGTAGGCCAACATTGTTCGTGCCAAAATTAGCGATGGCGAGATCTACATTATTGTCATTATTAAAATCCCCAGCAGCTAATGAAGATGGCTGAGAATCATAACCTGTTGAATACGTAATCGGAAGCGAAAAGTCTCCGTGGCCATAGGCATAGAATATACTAATACTGTGAGTTCCGTAATTGGCGGTGACAATGTCACGCAGTGAGTCATTGTTGAAATCAAAGGCAATAATTGCTATTGGACGAGATGAGCCTGTTGAAAACTCTATTTGACTTGAGAAAGACCCATTCCCAAATCCAGAAAAGATGTCGATATTGTTAGTGCCAAAACTTGCTATTGCAATATCCAATCGATAGTCATTGTTGAAATCACCAACTGTGATCATGTAAGGACTAGAGTAGGAATCTATTGAATACATGATTGGATCTCTAAAAGTGCCATCACCATGTCCCAAATAGACAGCTATTTTGTTCACTATATGATCAGCAGTAACCATATCCAAAACCGTGTCATTGTCGAAATCACCAATGACGACAGATCGTGGACCATACTTATATTCAACTGGCTTTTGAGCCGTTGGTTTGAAATTGAGGCTACACTTTGAAACTAAACGATACATCAAAGGCAATGTGATGATTGATTGTTTACTGCAATGAAATTGTCTGTCCTAGATTATTTGGAATTATCACGATTCCTATAATATGCTGTCAGAAATTATCGTATGACTCTATTTGGAGTCAATTCAAAACCATCATCTTTCAAAAGAACTCTGCTTAGTTTCTTAGAATACAGATAGAGTTACATATGGGAATTCATCAACCGAACCACTTATCTGTTCCCATCTTTTTATTTATTGTAGAATTCGTTCGAAAAATGTGTTGTTTCACATTGTTGCAGAATCCAATGTACATTAAAACAATTGTGTTCCGTGATGCTCTCAGTGATTCAACCAGTATTTTGGATTGGTGATTACAACAACAAACAAAATATAAAGGATTCTGCTTCGAATGCTTGAGAATAATAATAGACACAATTCTGACGATAAAGAAGGGAATGTGAAGCTGCTGGCTGACTAACTATGTATGAACAGTATAATATGCAAGTGAAGCAGACGAGAACAATCATACAAGGAATAACGACTTAGAATAGTGAGTGTATGTATCAGTAGTTATGCCATATTGACAACAAATGTGCAACTATATATCTCTACTCTTTTTTGTACAGTAAGCAATAGATGACTTCTATCGATCTGTTTGATCATAAATAGTAATAAATATTCTTCTCAGTTTTTAGTTCCAAATCTTCAATTACATCTTATTTTCTTGCAGGATGATTTGTCTGGTGTCACGTTTAATAATACTTTTCATATGTTGTGAGGATTACTCATTTTTTTATTTATTATTCAGACATGTAAACGATGATAAAATAGAAACATACTTACTATCTGTTCGCTGTGTGAAGATAGTCGACTTCTAATCAGCTATTAGTCAGATAGAATTATTATTTTATGATGCATATACAAAGTTTTATTGTTTCAAAGAGTGGTAACGAAAAGAATTCACTAGAATGTAATACAGAAATGAGAACTCACAGATGAATACAACATAGAACACACATGAGCCATACAAAAAGGCAGAAAAAGAAAACGAATGTATCGAAACATACTAGCAGAACGAAAAAAGATACAGATGGAATATATATACTGCTTACTCTCCTTTACAAGCAACATAAAATGAGAAAATGGAAAGAAGTTGTGTTCCGTGGAGAAGAAATATTTACTTTCGTCACATTCTATGAGAAAATCACTTGTATATTCTCTTATTCTTTCGTATTTCTATTATATCCAAGAATATATCCATGAGATAGAGAAAAAACCCAGGATAAGCTGCTGCTATTTGCATTCAGAGATATGAAAGCGTATCACCAAAAATAATAGAAGAAGCGATTCAAGAGCTTTGAATAAGATATAGTTGATGTTTCTGCAACAAGTAACAATGCGTAACATCAGTTTGTAAAAAAATCAGGTCGTGAAATTTTTATTTTACTGAGACATGAAAATAAAATTTATAGAAAACGCGATAATCTCCGTCTTAGAGAAACTTGTTATCCTTGTTCCTCTAGAACAAAGCGGCAATGGAATGATTTTTTGGAATTCTTTTCTAATCTATAATTCCCACGAATAAGTAAAATAGAAGGGTCCGACTTATGGACAAAGTATCATATCTATTGGTGATGATCACCTTGGTTGGTTCGTATTCGTCAGTGCTAATTTGAAATAGAAAAGTGAAGCAGTTGTAATGCTTATAATTCTGTCCTCGCTCGATAATTTGCTTCGAACATGTCGATATCAAATATTTTATCACAATTAGAGTTTTTTAAACCAAAACTCACAATACTGGTAAAACAGAACTGAACTATCTGTGGATTTTTATCATATTGAATATGAAGGATGTAAAGCAACAAGAACATACCTGGTGGTTTTGGTGCAGTTAAACAAACTACCAGTATACCAATGATCGTAACTATAGTTGTAATCGTAGGCAGTACAAAGATAGGTTCGGTTATGAAACCTAACATTGACCAGTAACAAAATTTCCTAGGAAAGAGCAACAACAATGATATTTTACATTAAAAAAAAGTTATACATATTCTGTCGAATCGTGTATTTTTTTATTCGAGCGATGGTATCGTCCTGAACGTTCCTCGCATTTTGCGCATTTAAAATTGATCTCGGCTCCTCGTTTGCGTCAACGAAAACACTGTACTTACGAAGCGAGTAGTTGACCAATTTAACGTTATCATCCATAGAAACCATTTTAATCTACGATGAGACAATAGTTAAAGAACAATGCATACCTGATATAAGAATATAAATATATCTCTAACCATGGAGAGTTTCTATAAAAAAATATCGATGCAATAATTTTGCCTAATCCATTCAGCCAATATACATATAAGCGGACGACTTTTCTCTGCAATCTCAACGGTTTTTCAACTATCAAATAAATTTATTTAATATGTTGAGAAGGCTGCACAAGATTTGTGGTGATAAACTTATACTCGATCAAAACACTTGCACAAATACTGCTGTATATTAAAACGATTATCAAAACTACTGCTTTGAATGTTTACTTAACCAGCTAACACTTATTTAGTATTTGTTGATTTCTGTCAAAACAAGTGAACATTATTTTTTCTATTTTCAATTCTCTTCCATGGATACTTTCAGATGTAAGATCTTTAACATGTTTTCTAGGTATATTTTTTAAAACAGTCGGTAACATAATTTCAGATCCATCGAACCTTGATCAAGGTATCACAATCATCTTTTTTAGAATTGTGACTTGGAAAAGCAAAAATGTCGTAGAGTTTCTACATATCAAAGGTATATCTGGGTGTGGGTGTGTGTGTGTATGAACGAAGAGACAATCTACACCCACACCCCACACCTATTTGGAGATTTGCCCATTGAAATTTTTATTAGTAAGTTTTTGCCCGTTGAAATTTTACTTTTTCAGAATTGTCTATTTATTTTTGAATTAGATAGTGACTCTATTTTTTTTCTTTCATTTGAATCACACATGCACTTTTTGCTTGTTCTTTCTGTGAAGAATGAAGAAAAGAATCGCTTCCGGTATTTTCACCAGAGTTGCTAGATGAAAAACTTAAAACTTAAAACTTAGAAATTCTTGTTTTCAAAATCAGAATTTTTTTTCGAAATCGGACACTTATCAGAGAGAGTAACTTTTTGCAAACCAAGGACTGTCATGTTGACATACTTGAATAAAAGGCTTCACTGGTTTTTTTTGTTTATCAACTCATACTTTGTTTCCAAAAGTATTTCATAGTAAAGAAAGACAACACAACCATTATATAGCTCAGAGTAAAAGACTGCATATTGTAAGCTAAGGAAATCGATCATAGCTGGATCAAATGAATGCTCTCACTGTCAAACTAACTAATAAAAAATATGAGCTGCCAATAGCGTATACGCACATCAAGATATTCGAGTTTCAAAAAGTTTACAGTTTGTTATGTGCCCACATTATGAAATTTCATCAACGCCTAGTTTTCTTTTTTCGTTATGGTTGGATCGCGTAGGACCATTTGCATAAGAAAAAACAATATCACGCATATTAAAAAGCAATTTCTACGAAGTCTAAGACATCAGTTTTTTTTAGTTATAAGGATAATAAACAAAAAATTTTAATTGCTGTCAAATTGGTTTTGAATGTGTGTGATGTTGCTTCTTCTTATGTAAATAGTCGTGTTCTATTCAACCATAACGAAAAAAGAGAACTAAATATTGATGAAATTTCGTTGTGTGTGCACATGACAAACTGTAAATATGTTAAAATTTAAACATCTCGATCTGTGTACGTTAGTGGCAGCTCATGTTTTAAATTAGTTGATCTGTGAGTGAGAGCATTCATTTGATTCGACTATGAGCAATCTCCTTAATTTGCTGTTGCATGGCATTCAATTGTTAGTTAATACAAAAAAAATCTTACGAAAAATAATAAAAATTATAAAACATAAATTTCATATTATTTTTGAAGTTTTCCTTTGTTCAAAATTCCTTCAATAAATGTTTTTGAGCTCAAATATGTTTACAAAATCGTTCAAAAAAAATTAGCGTTCATTCTTAAGTTCAGGAACACAGAAATTTACTGATATATTAAAGCACTCGTCAGTGGCTCAGAAACTACAAAAGATTAAGAAAGGAAACAAGATAGCAGAATACGAATCTATTATATTAATGAGTTATATTTGTAATTAATTTTCCTAGTAAAGTCACCATGTAAAAATCTTTGGAATTCGGCGCCAGATCAGAAGATCAAAAAAAAATTGGAAAAATGTTCAAATTTCATAAATTTTCTTGACTTTTCAGAAGATCTGGCAATCCTGATTTTAACTGTAAGTTTGAGTAAACATGAGTTCGATTTTATTGGGAAAACACTAACCACGTAAAAATAGAGAAGAATAAATCAAAGAGAAGAGAAACAAAAGCACAGATCAAGAGAACACACACGAACATATATCCCCCGGTCATGAAAAACCGAAAGGCTTGTTTCTTTGATTTCTCTA